TTTTTTTTTTTTTTTTTTTTTTTTTTTTTGTACCAGGGATCGAACTCAGGTCCTTGCACTTGGCGAGGCAGGCAGCGGAACCACTGAGCAGAATCCCTGGCCCTCAACCTTATCTTTTTATGGTAGTTATACTCCACTGTATATAAATACCATATTCAGAAAATGAACTCTTCAGTTGAAATCTATTTTCCTTTTTAAAAATCTGTTTCCTTTTTATTGTCACTTACTGGTGGTCTCTAATTCCTCTCCTAAATGCCAGCCCCTAAAACTGATGAAGCTACTTCTCGGGGTCTCTCTCCTCCCATTTAACCATTCCTTCAACTGTTCCTTGACATTAATTCTTAATATACACATTCAAAGGCCCTCTTGAGAGATGCCACCCAGGATACACTGCTGTGTGCCAGTAGGCAAGATGATTTCAACTATTTCATCTTGCTCTTTGAGGCCAGTGCCTCAGTTATTGTCATTCTACCTATCAAATGAGGCCGAGTTTTGTACTGTTGTGGTATGTGTGTCCATGTCCCCCAAAAGCCTCAAGTGGTCATAGGTGGGTCTTATTGGAGGTGGCTGGATCTAGGGGGTGTGAATATGGGTTAAGGGTGTGTGATACGAAGCTCTGGGTGAGGATAGTCCCACCATGGGTGTGGGTAGCACCACACATAAAAGCTGCTGCTGCTTCTGCTGTTCCGCGGCTCCCTGCTTCCTGCATACTACGCCATGGACTGTGTCTCTTCTGCGATGCCTGTCTGCCGTGCCTCCCTGCAGTGGAGCCCGCTGACTATGGACTGAAGCCTCTACAAACTGTGAGCTGAAATGAACCTCTCCTCCTTTAATTTAGGGTATTGGGTATTTTGTCTCAGCAACAAAAAAAGTAACTAAGCCATGTATCATCTGAAAATGCAGTCTACATCACATCTGAGTCTTGATTCAAACTGGAGACATGAATTCTAAAGATAAAACACGTCACTCAAGAGAGCTTCCCCACTGAGCAGGGACCTAGGAGCTATTGCACCAGTGTCCCTCACCCCACCCTCAACCACAGTCTTGGCAATGAGTACAGTTGGGAAAGGAGGAAGAGCTTCTGTTAATTTGAGAGATGAGACTAGAGCAGTGGCTCCTGACTAGGCATTTCTGTCTCAGTTGAGTGTGTGACACAATGATAGGGTTGTGTCATTATGAAAAGTCACTTAGCAGAGCAGGTTTCTATCAAACAAGTGGGTTGCAGTTGTAGGTTTCCTGTGTTCCTGTTCTAGTTCCCTGGAACTGTACCCATGAGGGCCCTCTACCTACATATCCCCATTGTTGAGGACCAGCCATGATGTACATAGCTTGGAGAGGCCCAGGCCACAGCCCCGCAGTGCCCAGCCCGGTGCTAACTTGCCTGGGAAACAGACAAGCACGACTTCCGGGCTGTGTGGAAGCCACAGAAGGCGCTCCTGAGTCAGAGGGCATCTGCTGAGGGTGACATACAACACAGACCTCCTGGTCTGGGGAAGGACCTGGACTTGTGCCCCTTGGAGGTGCTAAACTCGGTCCCTATCTGGTGTCCTAAGTTTACTACAGTCGCTGTCCCGGGATAGCACACTACCCACTCCCCTGAGCTCCTTTCCAATGAATCAGAGCAGGCCCACTGTGGAGTTCATCAGAGCTCATACACGAGACAGTTTCCTCCTGGTCCCCACGGCACCCTGAATGTGGTTTCTGTCCCTTTCCTTTATCCCCGTCGCTCTCCCCACAGGTATTCGGGAGACTGAAGAGCTCCCGATGCCTTGTGTGCTGTCTGCTGGAGTCTGCTGTTTGCTCATGGGTGTCTTTACCTGTGCAGTTCCTCCGTGGAACACATTCCTCTCGTCAAGCTTCTTCCACGCACGGCATCTTCTCCCTGGAAGGATCCCAGTGCCTTCTACATAGTTCTGTGCCAAGAGTGCTTCTGTTCCAGCGGAAACCCTGTGCTCTCTGAATCCTGCTGGGGACTGTCCTCATCGTGGGCCCTGCCAGTAGGGCCTATGCATAAGGCCTTCTTCCCAACAGGGCCCTTGACAGAGATGCATTGCTTAGTGAGCCTTGCTAACAGTGTCTGATTTTCTTTCTTTCAAAGGAGAACATGATTTTTATTCTGTTCCACTAATATCTGCTCTAATCCTTAATATGTCTTACATTTTACTTACTTTGGGTTTAGTTTGCTATTTTTAAAACATTTGTTATTAGTCCATGTTTCCAGTATAAAATGTTTAAATTCATCTTAGGGAATAGCTGCATGTACTTAACATATCTTAATTCTATTTATTCCTCTTCTCCTCCCCTCCCCTCTCCTGTTTCTAGATCCTTTTCCATTTGCAAAAATGAATTATTTCCTATTGTCTATCTTTTTTTGGAAATTATTTAAACTTCTAGTTTTTCATATAAGAAAAGTTAAGTGATATTTAAATTTGTGTGTCTGTTTATTTCACAGTATGGTCTCAAAGAGCATCCATTTTTCTATGGATGACTCAGATTTATCCTTCTTCATGGCAGAGTACTCCATTATGTATAAATACTACATTTTCTTTATCCATTCATCTGTTGATGGCCATATGGAATACTTCCAAGATTTAGCTATTTTGAATTATACTGCTGTATACCATAGGTGAAAGGGGGGTTCGTGTGCCCTTTCGGTGCCCCTTACCCAATTAGGCCACTCACGCACCGAGAGGTCCGGCAGGAGATCTTTATTGTAGGGAGGTGAGCAGGAGGCAGGAAGGTAGAGAGAGAGAGAGAGAGAGAGAGGAGGAAGAAGAAGCAGAAGGAGAGAGAAGAACAAAGAAAGGAAGGTCCTTTTATCAGTTTTGGGGTGGGCTATTGCTTATTTATGAGGAGTGAGCTACTTTTAACCTATCACAGGCCAGATTGCTTTTATGGGCCCAGTCCTGCAGACACAGGTTTCAACTTTCCTGGACCACTGTGGCCTTGCGGGGGAGGAAACCAGAGATAAGGGCATGAGGTCATTTTAGG